AGCTTGTTCACTCATGTTTCGCAACACAAATTAAAACAGTAGATCTTCGGTAAAGATTTCCATACTATCACTTCCAATTCCTGGAACCAATAAAGTGAAGAAACATCGCGAAATTTTTAATGATCAGTCATTAGGCACAATCACTAATTGAAAAATGGCCCACAAAGGAAACCAACCGACGGTCAAATAATCTGCAGCAATATTTGGCGTTGGTTCAAATGGTGACCCACGCAAAACATGCCGGGGCTCTGGAACTGCATATAACCAATGAACTTATCCGGGAGGCCCGAGGACCGAGAGATCCACATATGCCCGGAAGGGGCGCTGTAATTATCCCATGATACGGTTAGTTGTTCCATGATGATTCCTTCAAGTTGGACCGCAGCCTTCTGCTCTCTTCCCCAGATTCGTCTTTCTTGAGGAATCCGACGATCACTTCCTCCAATTTCCGGCACCTCTATCCGCGAGCTTCCGGCCGATATACAGGTTTCACCCAAGTCGGCCCAAAGAATCCGTGATAGCCGATGATGAGTCTGCAAAATTTGCAAACGGGATGAAGACTTGGTTGGCAGCAAACAAAGAATAGGATTCTTGAACAAGCGTATGATCCGGGAGCCCTGATGCGGGCCCACTACCACGAGCTCTGCATTTTTCGCTGATGTTCACATATTCCCAATCGCCAGATTAGTAAGATGTTTTTAAACCTGCCCGCATGAAGGACCGTTTAAAGCGGCATTAATAAGTATATCATCGCCGCCAATTTGCTCTTGCGCCGCACAAGAGTCTGGGGTTTTTAGCTTGCATTGTTGAGATTATTTTGACTCTGTGTTTTTCTTTCACCTTTTCTCTGTTGCTGTTTGCATCCAAAATATTGCCCCACTCCTGATGTTGGATTTGTTCAGTAAATCGACTCAGCTGAAGATCCGCGCTGGTATGTGATTTTGCCGTCTTCCTCTATTGGAAACCGGGTTGACAAGCATCAGGCCTTTTCGGCCCTCGATACTCAAAACATAGAGCTAACATGCCACTAGCAATCAATGATGAGCCTCTTGGTCCATATAACGAGGAGCTTCTAAATTTGTCTGCGCTTTCCTATGACAGGAAAGCACTTAGCACAATCACGCTGAATCTCGAAAAAAAGTTGGCCAAATCAATCAGTAATGCTGAGAGCCTAAAGCGGCTGTACACCGTAGCAGCCCCAACTTTGAACCGTCACCGCCGCTTGCCAGATGTGCAGCGCTCGTCCACTGTTCATGGGTTTTCTTCAGGGGAATCTGGAGATTACCGCAAAAACCTCGAGGTGTTGAAGTGCTTGACAGTAATTGTATACATATGCCAGAATGGCTCACATGCGTTTTTGCAATGGGCCAAGCAAGTGTGTGACACCTTGATCTATCCAATCGGCCGCCTTTCCTTCCACCCAAAGACCTCCAACGCCATATATCTGAAAGCTGAGCTCATCATCAAATTCTGCAAAGATGACATGGAACTTAAGTCCGCGCGCCATTCTATTGACCAGATACGATCGGAGCTAAAGCCGGGACTGGCCCATAGATGGGTGAGCTGAACTGTGTTTTTCACCCGCAAGAACATTAGCATGTTGCAATTTGAAAACCAAGTTTGATACTTGCACCAAAGCACGGAATGGATTCACGACAAGGAGCTTGCCGCACACAGGACCCAAACCGGGCATGAACAGTTTGAGCAAAAATTCCTAGTGATTTCTGCTGGACATGTCTTGTGTGCTGGACATGCAGTCGTGGAAGGGAGATTCTCCAATTTGCATCCAGCAAAATCGCTTTACTGTTTTGTCCTGTCTCTTGCGGGGGACTGTCTCATCATTCTCACCGAAAAACCACAATAACAAAACACAATACTGAACACGATATCATAGCAAGGGAGAAAAAGCCTTTCTGTTAATTATTCTCCTCTAGCCTTTTTAGATATTCTCTCCTTTTTGCATGTTTTTTCTTGACCTAATTTGATAAGCAACGGTGATATTCCCTCAGCAGAGTCCGCGCGGCTGGTGCATAAATTCCCCACACATGATCAAAATACGAGCGTGCAAAAGAGAATTTTAGCACAGGCATTTTTTTTCGGCGCTCTGACTATTTGGTGCTAGAAGTCTGTTCCGTTTTGCTTATTATGGTCTAGAAAGTCCGGCAAAATCCGGTGATCTGGGTTAAGTAGAAGAAACAAAAGAAAGCATTTTCGGCGTTATCATTTGACCAGCGGCTAGGTAAGCTAGGGGCGGGTGGTTTCAGAAGTGTGCACGACCCGCTTTATCGTCGCAAAAAGCGGAGTTCTGGAAACTTCTCTGAGCCAATTGAGTCGAACCATACTACTCGGTGAAACCAAACTCACGAACAAAAGATAATAATACTAGCGGCTATTCAAGCCTGAGCTCACTATACAAGGAACACAGACTAGGAATAAGGGGCAAATAAACAAAGGTATTTCTTTTTTGCCACATTGGAGATCTGGTGCGGCTTGCGCGCCGCCGCGTTAGGAAGTTATTGATTGCTTTTTGCACGGTCACGTGCGGCTCGGGCACCCCTATTTGCCCTATATAAGTGTTCGATTGCGCCACTCTGGCGGCAAAAGCAAAACATCTAATTCAGCTGCAGAATGCAAATCTTCGTCAAAACATTAACTGGAAAGACAATCACACTTGAGGTCGAGGCCTCGGACACCATTGACAATGTCAAGTCCAAGATCCAAGATAAGGAAGGTATTCCACCTGACCAGCAGAGATTGATCTTTGCCGGTAAGCAGTTGGAGGATGGCAGAACGTTGTCCGACTACAACATCCAGAAGGAGTCTACTTTGCACTTGGTGCTCAGATTGAGAGGTGGTATGCAAATC